CACCCCAGCACCCCACCATAGCGCTGGTCATGGGTCTCAAGGGTCTCAACAGCCGCCTCCTCGCACCCAAATTCAATGACGTCTGTCCTGCATTGTTTGTCTTATTCCCACCTCGCCACGCTCCCCATCCCTCATCGCTGCCCCCCCCATTCACCCCAGCACCCCACCATAGCGCTGGTCAGGGGGCCCAAGGGCCTCATCAGCCGTCTCCTCGCACCCACAATTTATGACGTTTATTTCAAATTCTGCCTTCACTCCCAACTCCCATCCCTCACAGATGCTGAGTCTGGACGCTCACAGACGGGCGCCACGGTCGAGTTGCACCGCCAAGAGTACCATCGCATTTTCAAGGCCCACGCTCAAGTGCCCTTCGAGAAGGTCACTGATTTATTACAACGGCCGGATCGGGAGCTGCTTGGTGTGAGATATGCCTTTCCGCTTATGCGGTTAGATGATCGCGGGAGACCAATGCGTGTGGAGGGCTTGTCTTGGGGAGGAGCAAGACGCGGGAAGGCATTTGCTCTACAACGCCAAGGAGGTAATGCCTTTCAAACATGCTACATAGCCGAATACGGGTGATGCTATCTCATGATGACGTGTCGCCCCAACGCCCACAACCACTTATCATACCACTATTGCTGAAGTGCAGGTAATGCACAGCGCGCTGCTCGTAGCGGCACTACGGACGATGGTGGGGTGGAGAATGCTACGGCTTTGTCTAATCCTTCCGTGCCTCCTTTGCCCGTCGGGGGTGGTGGTGATGGCGAAGGCCCGGTCTCTACTTCTTCCATGCCTACTTTGCCCGTAGGGGGTGGTGGTGATGTTGAAGGCATACCCTCTACTCCTTTCGTGCCTCCTTTGCCTGCGGGGTGTGGACTTCATGCAAGTGGCAGCATGTCATTGCCTACAGCACCACCGAGCACGATGAATGGCATGCCAGAGGACAGGTGAGCAGTTGATATACTGCATATTTGGAATTCATGTTACAACCTTATAAAATCATCTGGTCCCACCTAGGCTCCTTACACTTCCACGTCAACCATACGCTCATCATTTGTGTCCTTTTTCTATACCCCTCGTAAGGCCTGTTTGCAGCCATCCGCGCGCGAGCGCGCGCGGGACAGTCCCCAGGCATCGGCCTACATCACCAAGCGTTGATGATATCCCTGAGCAACGGGTATGTCTAGTCGAACCACGTACCGTTGTCGGGTTCTTCAAGGGGTGTCGCTTAGTGTGCTCGCATCAAGATACATGCGGAGGTGCTATGTCTCTCAGGTCGTGGAAGTTTTCTTGGGCTTCAGTTGGCATGTTCTGGAGATGCGATAAATGTTCCCATGGTGTGGAGTTCTGGTCGTGCACTAATCAAACCCTTGACAAGAAGAGAGTTGGGGTTGGTGCACGAGTGCCAATGCTACACTCAAAATATGTGGGAGCATTCGCGCTCGCTGGGATGGGGTATCAACAGATGTGGGAGTTCAGTCGCAATTTTGGCATTCCATGTCCTGGCAAAAGCACGTTCTATCGATACCTTGGGGGCGATAATGGGTTATGGAAAACAATACTTAGGGAGGCGGATAAGTCGATGGCTTCGGTGCGGGAGGAGATGAGCAAACGTGACATCCCAGCCAAATACGTGACGGTGGATGGCCGATGGTCACATGTCCGAGAGGGTGAGTGGTGCACAGTATCGTTCATGGACATACCGTCGCGGAAGATCTTGTACTGTGTAACAACACGTAAGGGGGTGGATGATAAATCGTCGGTGCGATTGGAGCGGGTGGCATTCGACAGAGGGGTTGATGAGTTGAAGCTGTTGGGGTTCGATGTGAAGGGCATCATTTCAGATCAAGGGACCACGTTTAGAGGCGCTGCGGCAGAGCGAAAGCTGGATCATCAGGTGGATTGGTGGCACGTGAAACGGACGCTGTACAATCTTTTCTGCAAGGAGCTTCAGGATCAGGTGCGGAAGGCTGTGGAGGTGGACAAGGCTAGCTGTATCGAGGAGCTATGGTTGGCTAAGGTGGAAGACTTAAGGCAGTGGTTGAGGACCAAAGGATTGGAGAAAGAGGCGAAGGGGACACTCAAAGCATCACTTGTGGAGGCGGTATGTGAAGCCATGGTTACCATTGCATATGTGAAGATGACCCCTGATGAAGCGAAGTGGATGTTTCCTGAGTTGCGAAAAGTCCGGCGGCTGGGAGGAGAACGGGCAGTGGTAGATGTCCCAGTGGGATATGGCGAGGTGCGTCCTGATACTACTGGAGAGATGCAGCCCATCGTGCGAGATGATGCGGTTGACGAGGCGGATGCGGGCACAACCCAAGTTGATGTGCAGTGGGCGGATGTGGAGGAATTATGGCAATACGATATCCATCCTGTGCGTGGTGCGAGACCATCGTCATTGGCTAGTTCTCTCATCGTGCACGCACATGCGGGTGCATGCAGTAACTTACGATTCATCGGCGGGACGACTCCGTGGGCCAACGTTGATGAAGCTACTGGTATGAACGCTTTGTGAAATTTAGTTTCCATGCCATATTCAGATTGGAGTATGCTGCTTGTTTCCTAAAATTGTTCATACTGCTCGTTTTGACATGACAGAGACGATGACTGGCTGCAACAACGATGGTGTAGCGGGTGAGACCGACAATCAGGGAAGTGACGTCGGAGAGAATTTGCCCCGTTGGACTGGGCGGCGAAAACGGAAACGTGGCGGAGATGAGATAAACGCAGGCAATGAGGAGAGTACGGTGGCGCAGCGCTTCGCTTCGCATTTCTTCCATGTGATGATGCGTTGCGCGGCGCTGTTGAAAGCGGGCACCCCTATGACCCCCGAAGATGTGGCTAGGGAAATTGGGACGGCACCTAACCACTGGGCAGGTGACCACTCCGAGTGTGGACGGAACGGGAGTATTCCTCCAAGGTGTGTTACCGAGAAGTGGGGCAGGGAATGTGCACTTTATGAGCCTGGATCGGAAACGCACAAGGCGGTTCTTGCATGGTTCAAGAAACGGCTTTCGCCAGACAAGGTGAAACCCTATGTTCACGGAGCCAACAGTTCCATAAACGAGTCTTTCCATTCCCTGATCATCAAATACGCTGCTAAGCGTATCAGGTTCAAAGGTAGTCTTGAGGCACGAGTGGGGCTGGCTGTCCTGCATTGGAATAACTCGATGGACAGGCTGGTCACATCGCATCGCACTCGTGTACGGCAAGTAACTCGGGTGCGACGGGGCAACAAGGATCGAATCCTCGGACCTATGGATTGGTCTTGGGTTGATCGGATTATGGAGGATTGGCAACGATCGCTGGGATTTGGAGTCGACGATGAGATTATGGAGACGGCCCCGAAGAGGCAGGCGCAGCATCCTGTCGACTTACCTTGTGGAGGGCGACACCCATCTGTTGTTGGGCCGGTTACTCCTGTGCGAGAAGGTGGCATAGTCCGCGGCATTACTTCGACGCGCGGTGCTGGGCGCCGTATCTTATGTAAGATCTGTACCACATTCTCACCAACCCTTACTCTTGTCTTATGTAAGATATTTTGACGCTTCCCTCTTGCGATCATGTTGCAGGTGATGCTACCAACCATCCTCGGTAAACGTGTTGGAAGCACTTACAAATCCGGGGAAGGATCTAAATCACCAGTTTGTCCAACACGACGCGTCAATTTGGATGTCGGCGATGCCGGTGTGCGCCTTGAGGGTAATAGTGCTCATCCTTGTCCATACAACTGCTGCTCGCACCCATAACATGTGCATCTCTCGCTTTTCCCTCTCTATCTTCCTTTTCAGACCCGGTGTGCCCTCTCCCAGCCTTGCCCCCTCCTCCCATCCTATTCCCTTGCTTGCCCATCTCACGCCCTCGTGCTTCAACTCCCCAGTCTAGTCATTCTAAACCCTCCACCTCAGTCAATCATAGAGCATTATTTTCCCCTCACATTCCAACCTTGCTTTCTCAGCTCCTGGACGTGCATTTGGCGAAGACCACTGGTGTGGAGTTGGTGCCATACGAGTAGAGGGCCATGGTGGTGGCTCCGCGCCTGACCCCAAAGGAGGCCTTGGCGCCCTTTGATGTCAGCCGAGTCGTGGACCCCTCCGAGCACAACCTCAACCACCGACAGGTGCGAGTGCCATCAATCATCTGAATCAACGGCACATGTGACAGCGTAAGTCAAGTGCAAACCAGTGATTTATCGTTTACCATCTGGAATCTTTTGTAAACCCTTCGTTCGTCTTTGCCTACTTAGCTTGCATTGTGATACTACCCAATTATCCCCTTTGCAACAAAATTCAGGCTGGTCCTACTCCATCCGATTCCATGCCTTCGCGTTTCTTACCCTTGATGCATACTACAACCACTGATATATCTTTATGTGCTCGTTTCACTATCATGGCACCAATGTTGCCCATGCCTCACACCCCTCCCCACACATGCGTTCAACCAGCCGCATGGACGTTGTTTCAACATCTTTCAAGGTCAGCAGTGGCCCCTTATTGCTCCCAACGTGGTGCTCTCATTATGATTCGTCTCTATTTGCATTACTTTTCCATGCTTTGCTCCACAGTACTGCAGATCCATCGGGTGTCTGGAACATTTCTGCCGTTGTTGCGATTTTGCACGGCATACAAGACATTACCACCACACAAATGAGCCTACGTAGCCTAGAGATACTCCTCCTCCTGCCTGCATGATTTTGGCAGCAACAGGTTGCACCTTTTGACAAAGCATAATTAGCACGCGTGTGTGTCAAGTGGCTCACGTCACAACAGCAGGCGTATGCATGTATAAAGGATTTTACATTGAATTTTGGAATCCAGATGTATTCGAATGAGCACTTGTCCACCATACATGTTTGCCTCAATGGTCCTGGCTTCAAGAATGGCACAACATAAGCTCTCCTGCAGTGAGAGTGGATGGTGATAAAATTGAGTGTCATCATATGGTGTACGAGCCAACAAGTGGTGTTGTAGGTGGACAACCCCCAGTCTCCATCCACATCAATGCATTGTCCTCTGTTGAGCGAGGAGGTGCGGTGGCGATGAGAGGACAGGGGGATGAAAGGACAGAGGGATGAGAGGACAGGGGGATGAGAGGATGGGGGGATGATAGGACAGGGGGATGAGAGGATGGGGGGATGATAGGACAGGGGGATGAGAGGACGGGGGGATGAGAGGAGGGGGGGATGAGAGGACAGGGGGATGAGAGGACAGAGGGAGGTGAGGACAGGGGGATGAGAGGACAGGGGGATAGGAGGACGGGGGGGAGAGAAGACGGGGGGGTGAGAGGGCGGGGGGGTGAGAGGAAAGAGGGATGAGAGGACAGGGGGACGAGAGGACAGAGGGATGAAAGGACAGGAGGATAGGAGGACGGGGGGATGAGAGGAAAGAGGGATGAGAGGACAGGGGGATGAGAGGACGGGGGGGTGAGAGGAAAGAGGGATGAGAGGACAGGGGGATGAGAGGACGGGGGGATGATAGGACAGGGGGATGAGAGGATGGGGGGACGAGAGGACAGAGGGATGAGAGGACAGGGGGACGAGAGGACAGAGGGATGAGAGGACAGGGGGATAGGAGGACGGGGGGATTGAGGAAAGAGGGATGAGAGGACAGGGGGATAAGAGGATGGGGGGATGAGAGGACGGGGGGGTGAGAGGACGGGGGGGTGAGAGGAAAGAGGGATGAGAGGACAGGGGGATGAGAGGACGGGGGATGATAGGACAGTGGGATGAGAGGAAAGAGGAATGAGAGGACAGGGGGATAAGAGGACGGGGGGATGAGAAGACGGGGGGGTGAGAGGACGGGGGGGTGAGAGGAAAGAGGGATGAGAGGACAGGAGGATGAGAGGACGGGGGGATGAGAGGATGGGGGGACGAGAGGACAGGGGGATGAGAGGACAGAGGGATGGGAGGACAGGGGGATGAGAGGACAGAGGGATGGGAGGACAGGGGGATGAGAGGATAGGGGGATGAGAGGACAGGGGGATGAGAGGACAGGGGGATGAGAGGACAGGGGATGAGAGGACAGGGGGATGAGAGGATGGGGGGATGCGGCAGGCTCGGCGGCGGCAGCTGCAGCACCGGCAGCAGCTCCGGCAGTGGCGATGCTGGACACTACGTTCCGAACGGCTGCCGCCGTCACGAGGCGGGTCTGGACGGCAGAGAAGACGGCCAGCAGCAAGTGGACGAAGGCGGGCGGGGCAAGGGCACGGAGCTTGAGGGCGAGAGATGGCGCTGGGTGGGGGGTGCATAGGGAGGAGGGGGGCGGAAAGAGGGGACGGGGGGTTCAGTTGGCATAGGAGGGTGGACGGACGGTGAGGGTTGACTGGATGTGTTATATGATAGATAGTTGGGGGAAGGCTGCACAGGTGGAAGACAGTGGGTGTGAGACCTCATTCGCATGAAAAGGAGACACAACTAATCAGCAGCAGGCTGATCTAACTTCCCCTCCCCTGTGACAACTGTAAGAAAACGACTCCACTGCTCCCTCACAGCTGCAGCATTTCTCATTGTTCAGGGCAAGGCTCGTCCCCTTCCCATCGTCATTGACAATTCAGAGAAAACATTCAGCCCCTTCCCCTTGTTCCATACCCCACGGCCCGTGTGTCTCACATTCAGCACATCAGCTGCAGGCTCGCTCCTCTTTGAGAGCTAGCAGTCCCCCTCGTTCCATCCACCACAGCCCACGTGTCTCACCGTTAAGTGCATCTGCTGCAGCCTCACCCCCCTCTCCTCCTGCACCACCCGCGGCCCCGCCAGCAGCGGCGGCGGCGTGCTGCAGGAAGAGCAGCGGCAGCAGCTCGCCCACCACTGTTTTCACTGCTGCCTTGATGTCCGCATTCACTGCGTCTCTGTCGGCCCGCAGCACTGCCGGCAGGCGCGACTGGGGGATGAAAGGGTGGGAGATGAAAGGGTGAGAGACGGATGGGGGTTAGGGGGAAGAGCAGCGGCAGCAGCTCGCCCACCACCGTCTTCACTGCTGCCTTGATGTCCGCATTCACTGCATCTCGATACGCGCGCAGCACTGCAGGCAGACGGGACTGGTGGGGGATGAAAGGGTGGGAGACAGTGGGTGAAGGGCCAGGGGGGAACAAGGTGATGGAAGGTCGTCCCAGGCGGCCTATAGCTTCTTCTCGATGCATCTCAGCACACCCCAAACCTTAAACCTACCCCTTCTCCCCTGAACGCCAACTGTGCTCAGCAGGCTGATGAAGAGTGGCAGTAGGTGCTCTCAGGGTCAAGCCTCCCTCTCGCTCATCCGTTCACTCTGCATGCCCGCTTTTTATGAGAGCCAGTGTTTTAACTTCTAACCCCCAAACTCTAAGTAATACACTCGAACCACTGACCCCTGCCCCGTACTCACTGTGCGCAGCAGGCTGATGACGAGCGGCAGCAGATGCTCTCTCAGGCGAGCCTCCCTCTCCTCCATGCCCTCGCGCTGCTTGAGCCCGGCATGGGCAGAGCACGGATGTTGCATGGACGGATGGGGCATGGATGGGGCATGGATGGGGCATGGATGGGGCATGGATGGGGCATGGATGGGGCATGGATGGGGCATGGATGGGGCATGGATGGGGCTTGGATGTTGCATGGATGTTGCATTGATGGGGAATGGATGTTGCATGGATGGGGCATGGATGGGGCATGGATGGGGCATGGATGGGGCATGGATGGGGCATGGACGGGGCATGAGTTGGGCATGCAACGGGTTGGGATCCATGCATGCACCAGGGATGCACGTGGCGGGCGAGGCATGCGACAGACATGCATGGGGCGAGACAAGGCATGGATGGAGCAGACACAAAAACACGGAGCGAGAAACGGAGCAAGATACAGAACTGAGGCAGGCAGGAGGCATGGCAGGGAGCACAGGAGGATGAGGAACAAGAAGCAATCACAGACCTGTGCGGCCAGCCAGCTACTGACTGCGACGTCTCACACCTCAACTGCTATGACACAACACAACCACAGGTAGGCCCGGGCGACTGGCTCTGAAGCTCTGAAGCGCGCCATGCCAGTACAGCGCTGAATCTTGTGCGACAGAGATCACGCTTTGCATCCATAGGCATGCATTTTCCGCACACGCACCTCGAGGTTGACTATAGCGAGCAGCGTTTCAGCGGGGGGTACGCTCTTCTGGAGGTTGAAGCTGGTGACTATAGCGGAAGGCGCCACGTCAGCAGCATCGTGCACGGCTTCCCTCACAAAGTCGGCTGTTAGGAGACTGGGAGAATGGCGGGAATGGGTTGGGTTGGAGAGTATAGGGGATGGATGTTAGAAAATTGGAGGAGGAGAGGAGGAGGTGGTTGAGGTGGCGGAAGCAGTGCAGCCCCGCCATGGGGGGGGAGAGTGGGGCGAGATACGAGTGGGGGGGAGGAGTGGGAAGAGAGAGAGAGACCGACCGACCTGTAGACGGCATCGGAGGAGGTGAGGAGGAGGTGGTTGAGGTGGCGGAAGCAGTGCAGAGAGGGATATGAGGGTGGGTGGAAGAGGGGGATGTGAGAGTGGGAGGCGAGAATGGGAGGAGTGGGAGAAAGAGAGACTCACCTGTTGACGGCATCGGAGGAGGACACCAGGAGGTGGTTGAGGTGGCGGAAGCAGTGCTGCCCTGCGAGCTCCTGCCCATCCATGAGGCGCCTTAAGTCGTCCATCACGTCTAGCGCGCCCGCACAGTCGCCCGATGATACCAGCTGATGGACGGTAGGGTGGTGCGTGGGGGGGCAGGAAGGAGTTAGAGGGCAGGGTTGCACCCATGAGCTCCTGCCTCTCCATGAGGCGCCTCAGGTCGTCCATCACGTCTAATGCGCCCGCACAGTCGCCCGACGACACCAGCTGATGCATAGTGGGGTGGTGCGTGTGGGGCAGGAAGGAAGAGTTAGAGGGCGGGGTTGCACCCATCAGCTCCTGGCCGTCCATGAGGCGCCTGAGGTCGTCCATCACGTCTAGCGCACCCGCACAGTCCCCCGATGACACCAGCCGAGGCATCGGCACGCACAGTGGGGTGGTGGGGTGTGGGGCAGCAAGGGAGGCTTAGAGGTCAGGAAGCGAGCAGCACAAGGCAGCAGCATAAGGTATCATCACGAGCCAGCACCAAATGAGGCAGCACCACGAGCACCCAGTGAGATCAGTGCCTTCCATGAGGCGTCTGAGGCTGTCTGCCACAGCCAACGCGCCCACAAGGTCGCTCCATGACACCACCTCATGAGATGGGATGGCTCCTTACCGCATTGCGCCTTACCAGCTTCAGCGTCGCCATGGCCTGGTGCACGAACGCCACCAGCTACAGTTCTGCAAGACGGCCGGGAACCTAATTCTCTTCTCTCTAGCCGTCATAAAATTGTGTCTTACCAGCTTCAGCGTCGCCATGGCCTGGTGCACGAACGCCACTAGCTTCAGCTTCTGATGCGGCTGCAGCAGATTCTCCAGCCGAACCTTGGTCGCCTGCAGCTTCCGCGATCCTTCCAGAAGGTCCTCGTCCAGCATCCCCACTGTGCCGCGCAACTGACGGATGCGATCGCACGTCTCCACGATCCCACGGTTCAGATCTTCCAGTTTTTTCAGGGCTTCGAAGAACGAGTCGGAGCGGGAAGAGATTTCTTTAACTAAGTGCACCTCGACTAGGTCTAAGTAGTGCGATAGTTTCTCCTGTAGAAGCATATTCGCGGCAATGGAGGGAGACGGGCAGACCGTATCAAAAATCTCCTTCCGCTCAAAAGCAGAATGCTCGTCGAAATACACCGGGGGTATTTCTCTGAGACACGCTGCTAGACCCTGACCTTCTGACCGTGATGCTAAAATACCCTTCCCTTTCCGTTCCTCTCTCCCCTCGCTGTCCACGTCAGCACCGGGTGCCTCCCCAGTGACCAACTCCCACGTGGAATGCTCCTGAACGTCCACGAATCGCCCATACGGTTCCCTCATCCGCTCCAATTACGGCTGAAATTCCGACATCGGAAAATCCTAAATTTCCGGCGGCAAAGGCGGAGGACCCTCTAGAACCGGCTACAGCGGCCGCTACGCGGTAATCCATGTGCGTAGGGTACGGAGAAGGCGATAGGGCCGAATGTGATGATTGCGTGAGGGCGATACGAGGGCGACCGTGATAGGAGACGCGCGTAACTGTTGCGTTGCTGTCATACCGAAAAGCTACGACTAGAAAATATATCGGAGTGTGTCTATTTTAGGAGAGATTGACGGCGGAGGCGGAAGGCTGGGGATACTGTCGCGACGCGCGAGTGTGTGCTTCTTTCTACGTCTGAGAATACTTGTCGCTGCAACGACACTAGGAGAGAACGTGGCGGTTGCGTAAGAGGAAACATAGTGGCCGCGGTTAGGTTGCTTGCCAAGTCGCCAAAGGGCCCTGATTCGTGTCTTTGAACTGAGCGCTTAGACTGACGATTGCCCGTATGTGACGGGAGGACGACTACTATGTGCCTCATAATATGCGTGTCCAAGCGTTCCCGATGGTTTTCAAGTTTACTCAAGGTGAACAGTGCAATCCTCTGAGGCGTTTTCCCTGCTGGTTGTTTTAGGTTATCGCTGGCCAATCACGGATCACCTCTGCTGCTTCAAACCGACGGATTGTTCTGAACCAGCTTGTAACATGGTTATTCACGAATTCAACTTCAAGAATCTTGAATATGAAAAATACCATGTGAAACTCGGGCTTTAAATGGTTCGGACGGTTGGTGAGGCTCGGCACATTTTTCACGGGCTGACCAAGCTGACGGAGGTTAACGAACTCTAACTGACGGGATCAGGAAGGCGAGACCCACCTTCCTGATCCCGTTGTTATGCCGTCATTTTTAGTTATAATGGTGCTGGCGAACAGCACCTGTATTTGTTGTCGACGTCCTTGTTAGTGACCATCAACAAGACATCTAGCCGGACCCAAGTTCCCAATCGCTTCATTTGCCGACTTGCACTGCTAGACGCACCGCACTCAACCGTACCGCCGTCTTTCACCATGGCGACTTCTTTTCTCGCTCCTCCACTCTCCTCGTTCTCCAGACCCAATTCGTGGACGTCGGCGGAACACAGCTGTCGCTCCCCTCCTACCGCCATTATCCACCCTACATTGAAACCCACAACCAATCCCTTCCTTCACTCAAATCCCCGCCAAGTCAAACACCGTCATTCGTCCTTTCGTCCTTGCCTCCCCTTCCGCGCATCTTCCGTTCCTCCGCAATCCGACCCTCCAGCGCAGCCCGCTTCCAATCTTCCCCAGAAACCACCTTCCCCGACCCCCTCCCGAACACCCCTGCCGGTATCGCCAACGTCGGTGGTTACATGGGGCGGCCGGTTACCATCCACGCGGCGGCTGGTGCTGGGATCGTTAGGGTTTGCTGGTTTAGCGCTGGGGTCGAATTTCCTTGGCTCTACGAGTGTTCTCTTGGGAACAGTGGAGGACCCAGCGCGGTCGGCTCGCCTGGATGTGCTGTTCCCTATCAAGGGTTACAAGCGGTGCTATGACACGGCGAATGGTTTCGGTGAGTCCAGTGCGGTGCAGTGCGGTGCGGTCGAATGTAGGCCGAAAGTAGGATTATTGGGGAATAAGTGTAGTTGGGTAAATGGGGATGTTTTGATGGCAGATGGAGAGTGCGTGCATTACCTACCGCTGCTTGGGTCTGTTGCGCTTGCACGCGGTTATCATGCGGGGTAGGATGTTTGCCAGGATGGTAGCGTGGCTGGGGGGAAGCGGAGTGGGGGGGAGGAGAGGGGGAGAGTTAACAGCTTCTTGGTGAGCCATTTCTCTCAAATTAGGGCTCGCAATTCAGTCTCTCACACATGCATGCAGCTCCATTCCCGTTTCAATCTGCACAATCTGTCCCAATCTCGTCCTCTCTCCTACACCCTCCCTCCCTACTGCCCATCTCTGCCGTCCTCCCACCCTGCTACCATCTCAGAATTCATCTTTCCAGCCGAATGGGTGGGAGACCAGACATTGCTATACCGAGCAGCGGAGCGCAGAGAGAGAGAGCTTTCGCTCGACCCGCCTCCCCTCTCCTCTCCTTCCTCCTCCGCCTCCTCGCAACAAGCACGCAGAGCAGGTGCAGTTGACCCTGTGACGGCCTTCGGCCCTCCGGGGGGGAACGGGGAGCTCAATGTGAGCGTCGTTGTTGCTCCTGTGCCACGTGGATTCAGGTGAGTCTCCTGGTGGGGTTCCTGTGTATGGCTGCCATCTCAGGTCAGGGGTTACCTATGTGTATGTGCAGAACATGGGTTTGAGATGAGTATGAGGAAGTCTCAAATTTCTGCTGCTCTTCATGCCTTGCGCCTCTTTGCGTCTCTTTGTTTCGCCTCTGCAGCCTTAGGAGCTTCGGAGATGCAGAGAGCATTGGTGGCAGGCTGTTGGCAAACGTCATTGCACCTGCTGGGTCTGGAAGGGAGGCCATGCTGCTTAGTGCAAGCGAGAAGGAGCTGGATGGCGTGCTGTACATAAGACTGGAGTACACTGTACAAGGCGCTTCATTTTCCCGCCACAATGTTTCTGTTTGTGCAGTGAAACGTGGAAAGCTTTTCTCCTTGAATGCACAGTCACCTGCGGACCTGTGGCCTGAGAACTTGGAATTCTTTTCTGTTGTTGCTGATTCATTCAAAGTTCTAAGTGACAGTCTGTAAGCGGAGGCACTGAGTGATGACTTGGAGCAAGTTTGATTCCCGAGGTTGCAGTAGAACTGCGTTTGATAGATGTTCGGGGTTCATAACAAGTAGAATGGGGTATGTAGCTGGTTCATATGTATGTTCTACAATGTACAGTGCACCATTCAATACCCCTCCGTCTTCTTGAGAATTTTGTTCCAACTTCTAAAATTCCGTGCTGGACATGTCCCAATCGAAAGTGTCCGAATCGATTCTACCGCACTGCATCGTATTACACCGAATTACACCCTAGTTTCAAACATTGTCGAAATTTTCGCGTCTCTGGTTTAGTTCGGTTCGGAGCGGTACACTCGATTGGGACACTTTCTTTGAGAAAGTGTCCAGCGCGGAATGTACCCTAAACCAAATGTATAGAGTTGCAGTCTAAAAGCCCAGTGGCCACCACGCAGGAAGTTTTTCCTTAATACCGTACTAAATAGTGAAAATTACATTTTGGCTTAAAAAGATTTTGACTTGGAAAATTAGCCATAAGCTTGGCCAAGGGTTCAGGGGGTGACCATTCTCAATAATCTCCACAAGTTAATAAATCCTACTCCAAAAAACTTCTCAAGATATAGTGACTGCTCGCACCTATTTTACACTGAACGAGTCAACGAAGTCCTTGTTAGTGCCATTCGAATGTTTTCGCCTGAGAAACGGACAGAGCTTGACTTCTGCTCCGAGAACGGCAAGGCAAAACAAAAAACTGTTGCTTGACTTAACGGTACACCTGAATTTCCATTTAGGCACTTTATGATGCGAATGTAAGCTGCTCGGAAATCGTGCGGCAGTAAAGTAAGAGCACGTTTGGGACTTTAAATATACCGTCACAGCTACGGCTGCGTTCTGCGGGCGCATCAGCTCTGATGCGCCCTAGGCTCGGCCTGATCCGCACATTGACAAATTGAGGTTCGGAAATGAGGAATTTGAAATTGAAAAATAGAGGTTCGGAAAATGGAGATAGAGGTTCGGGAAATCGGAAAATGGAGATTTCGAATTTCGGGCATGTCAATTTTCGATCTCACATTTCCGAGGTATTCCAGGGTACTGAAGGTTCTTTGAAGCAGGGAAGCACGCACCTGACGCCTTCCCCACACCCCTAATTTCGAATTTCAATTGCCCAATTCGATTTGATGCTCGTATTATGCGCGTTCCCTGCGTTGCATCATGCGCGCATCAAACATGCGTCAGATTGCTAGGACGATACATTTCTCAGAAAGCGGCGACATGCAAATTTGTGGTTGCCAAAAAGACCGTTCTGCAGGCATTCGGGCTTGGTTTGCCTCGGCAGCCAAGCGCTTATCGCGAGCCTTGATAACCTTTCAGCTGGTTGTTAAACTGTAGTATGCTTGTAGGCTGTAGTGGGGTAGCCAATATGGGGTACAACCCCAACTAGGGTTTCATATTTGTACCCAAACTTCTGCTAGTTCATCATTCTTGCCTAGTGATTCTGAAATGGTATTCAGAGCAGGAGGTCCCTAGGACCTACCGATCGTTTTTTTTTTAGGGCCCACCACCGCTCGCATGCGGTTACCACGCTACCCCGTGCCCTAGCCTCGTAGCGCCCTCGTGCGCCCACGTTAGCGCCCTCGCGCGCCCCTTCGTTAGCGCCCTCGCGCGCCCCTTTGTTAGCGCCCTCGCGCGCCCCTTGCTAGCGCCCTCGCGCGCCCCTCACTAGCGCCCTCGCGCGCCCCTCGCCGAGCCGCCCGCTCGCAGCCCGCCCGCCCGCTCGCTGCCCGCTTCGCGGCCCGCTCGCTACGCAGCCCGCCCGCCCGCTCGCTGCCCGCTTCGCGGCCCGCCCGCTTCGCAGCCCGCCCGCCCGCTCGCTGCTCGCTTCGCGGCCCGCCCGCTTCGCAGCCCGCTCGCTCGCTGCCCGCTTCGCGGCCCGCCACTTCGCAGCCCGCCCGCCCGCTCGCTGCCCGCTTCGCGGCCCGCCCGCCTCGCAGCCCGCTCGCCCCGCTGCCCGCTTCGCGGCCCGCCCACTTCGCAGCCCGCCCGCCCGCTCGCTGCCCACTTCGCGGCCCGCCCGCATCGCAGCCCGCTCGCCCCGCTGCCCGCTTCGCAGCCCGCCCGCCCGCCCGCTGCCCGCTTTGCGGCCCGCCCGCCTCGCAGCGTCGCCCGCCCGCCGTGCTGCCCGCTTGCAGCGCCGCCTGCCCGCCGCGCTGCCCGCTTCCCGGCCCGTCCGCCGCGCTGCCCGCTCGCAGCGTCGCCCTCCCGTCGCACTGACCGCTTGCAGCGCCGCCTGCCCGTAGCGCCAGCCTCGCCCGCTGCTCTCTATCCGTGCACAGTCGCCTTCCCCTGCTGCGGCAGCTTGCGTTACTCTGTCACACTGTCGCTATGGCTTCCATTCGCGTGCTGTCGTTCGATGCTGAGGGCCGCCCTGTGCGTTTCACCGCTTGGCTAGATGACCTGCAGCTGTTTCTCCTGAGCGATAGCAAGGAGCATGTGTCGCTCTATGACTACGCGTCTGGTGCTGCGCCTGCCCCTCCTGCCACAGCTGAGCTTAGTGTTCGTTCCCACTGGCAGACTCGTGACGCAGCTGCTCGCCTAGCCATTCGCAGTCACCTGCCGTTAGCTGAGCTAGAGCATTTTGGCGACTGCAAATCCGCTAAGGCCCTGTACGACGCTGTCGTCGCTCGCTACTCCTCGCCTGCCACAGCCGAGCTTAGCCGCCTCATGCTGCCGTACCTGTTCCCCGATCTGTCCACCTTTACTACAGTCGCCGATCTTATCACCCACCTTCGCACTAGTGATGCTCGCCTGCGTGCCGCCCTACCCACCGAGTTCTGCGCTAAGAACCCCCCTCCACTGTACTGGACACTCCACTTCATAGTCACCCGTCTCCCTGACACCCTCCGCTCAGTTCGAGACCACTTCCTTGCTCGCTGTCCCACTGAGCTCACAGTCGCCCTCCTAGAGGAGCACCTGCTCGCGGCCGAAAAGAGCATTGTAGCTGTCGGTGCTGCTCGTGGCGCTCCTCGCACCCCCATCTTTGAGGGGTGTTCTCCCTCTCCCCTCGCTCCCTCCTACGCTGCTGCTGCTGCTGTTGACTTCCTTGGTGCTGAGTCTGTTGGCGCTGCTTCTACTCCTGGTGGGAGGCGCCGCACCGGCAAGGGCAAGGGGGGCAAAAGTGGTGGTGGTGGCGCTGGGGGGGGAGGAGGTGGGGGAGGTGGGGGGGGAGGCGGTGCTGGAGGGAGCGGTGGCGGGAGCGCTGGTGGGAGTGGGGTCGGTGGTGGAGACGGGGGCGGCGGAGGAAGCAGTGGCAGTAGTGGCGGCGGCGGCGGTGGCGGCGGTGGCGGTGGTGGCGGTGGTGGCGGTGCCGGTCGGAGCGGTGGTGGTGGTGGCGGCGGAGGTCGGAGTGGAGGCACTGGCTCGGGCCAGAGCTCCCAGCAGCAGCAGCGTCCCCAGACGACCCAGCAGCTTCGTGAGTGGCTTGCTCAGCGTGGGACGTCGGGGGCCAGTGCCCGCTGTTCTTATGTCATTCGCACAGGTGACCGCAAGGGACAGACGTGTGGGAGGTTCCACACCCCGTACCGCTGCTTCTCCCGCCTTGACGACGCTTGGCGTGAGGAGATGGGTGCGGATGTTGAGCGCCCCCGCTGGGCTGAGCTCATGAGGGCTGGTGTTGATGTCTTTGCTCTTGACTATGATGCTATTATTGCTGCCATGTATGCATTGACTGTTAGTGCCGAGGGAGACTGTTACTTGTGTGTGCCGCCTGACCCAGGTATAGAGCCCGCTGCCCTGGGTACTAGTGAGTCTGCTCTCTCTGGTATGGTGCCCCCTGTACTTGCTCCCCCCAGTGCTGTCCCGGCTGGTTTCGAGTCTGCTCTCTCAGGTACAGCACCCACACAGACTCCTCTCTCAGGTACCGCACCGGCTGAGGCCTGTCACACCTTCACCCTTGACTCAGGTGCTTCCCGTTGCTTCTTTCGTGACAGTACTGAGCTCACACCGCTTCCTGCACCGGTCCCAGTCTCCTTGGCTGACCCCTCTGGGGGCCCAGTCCTTGCCCAGTCCACCACTGTCCTCCCTTGTCCGGCGGTTCCGTCTGGCTCGTTGTCGGGTTTCCACCTCCCCTCGTTCTCGACGAACCTGGTGAGCAACGCTGTCCTCCAGGATCAGTGGGTTGACACCTTTACCCCTGGCGGACAGCGTGTGGCGATCTGCACGTGCTCCAGGACCGGCCGTCACCTGGCTACGTTCACCCGTCGGCCGGGGTCGAGTCTCTACACACTGACCACTGCGTCTCCCCAGGTAGCTGCTGTCGGTCAGGTGTCTGCGTCAGGTCTGGTGGCCCACGCCTGTGAGTGTCGTTCCCTGTCGCACCAGACTCTTCTCTGGCACCACCGCCTGGGTCACCCCTCCTTGCCACGCCTTCGTGGCATGCACCGTCGCCTCCTTGTGTCCGGTCTTCCCAGGTCCCTCCCTCCCCTCCCTGCCTCGCCTGCGCCGCCTTGCCTTCCTTGCGTCGAGGGGCGGCAGCGCGCCGCTCCTCACTCCTCCTCGTTCCCCCCGACAGAGGCTCCTCTGGAGACCCTCCACCCGGACGTGTGGGGCCCAGCCCGCGTTCGTGGTCAGGGCGGTGAGCGGTATTTTTTGCTGGTTGTCGACGACTACTCGCGTTACACCACGGTCTTCCCCTTGCGCACCAAGGGTGAGGTCCCTGCTGTTCTGATCCCTTGGATCCGCACGGTTCGTCTCCAGCTCCGCCGCCGTTTCCGGACGGATCTTCCTGTCCTGCGTCTGCACTCTGACAGAGGTGGTGAGTTTTCCTCCGACCTCTTGAGGACCTTCTGTCAGGCGGAGGGCATCGAGCAGACCTTCACGCTTCCGGACTCCCCACAGCAGAATGGGGTTGCTGAGCGTCGCATTGGCCTGGTCATGGAGGTCGCTCGTACCTCCTTGGTCCACGCGGCGGCTCCCCATTTTCTGTGGCCGTTTGCTGTCCGGTACGCCGCGCATCAGCTCAACCTCTG